ACATTTTTATACCCCTGCAGGGTATTATAATTTCAATCAGAAATTGGCAACGCACTGAAGGAGGCACCTCTGACCATATTAAGTATATATATTCATGATCAGCATTAACAACCGAGTCGATCTAACCATGTCCGTCTGTCCGTTTCTACGCAAACTAGTCTCTAAGTTTTTAAGCTATCTGAATAAAACTTTGTAGTTAGTCTTCTATATACTCTCACTCATATATATGTCGGAACGGGCCGGATCGGACGACTATATCATATAGCTGCCTAGAAATGATCGGAAAATTTTTACAAAAAACATTTGCAGTTTTCGACAGAACTTGATCAAATTTGAGGTATAGCCATTGTAAATTATTTTACAATTTTGTGCAAAATTTTTAGAAAATTGGACTACTATATCATATAGCTCCCATAGGAAAGATCGAGAAATTAATACAATTACAAATTATAACTTTTTTAGTTTTCAACAGATTTTCATCAAACTTAAGTTATATCCATATTATATTATTCTACGATTTTGTGTAACATTTTATAAAAATCGGACTAATATATAATATAGCTTCCAAAGGAATGACCAAGAAATTAATATAATTAAAAATTATAACTTTTTCAGTTTTCAATAGATTTTCACCATTTTATATTATTCTAAAATGTTGTGTCATTTGAAAATCAGTCAACTATGTTATATTATATAGATGCCATACAAACGACCGTAAGATATAGAAGAAAAATGATGATAAAAAATGTGAGCTGGAGTGTGGTTTTAATTACTCCAATGGAGGATCCCATTCCTCCAATTGGTTCTACGTTGCAGCAACTTGGTTTTAATCGCTTCGCCGCCCTGAAACGGAAATTTTGAACATTTCCTGCATTCAAACAATATGTTGATTTCATGGATTACCTGAAAAGACGACACATGGAATTGATACCTTATCCTGCAGCTGATGAGGAGGATCCCGCACTCTGCAATAACTTGGTCCTCCATACAGTTTAAGCCATATAGCACTACTGCACCATGCCGACGGCTCAGGAAAGGATTCCAAGGGTTATTCACTCAATTCACGACTCAATTCACGACAATTCAAGTCGTTGTTGTGACGAGTTACAGACGTTCATCCTGGCCAGGATCAGAGGGTCCGTGTGGTCACAGTGCAAACCTCCAAGGGAGTCTACAAGCGCCCCATCACAAATTGCTGTGCTTCCTTTGAGCTGAACAGTCGTTCAGGGGGGCCAGTATGTTGAGGAATAGATCGGCTGGATGACTTGAATATTACTATTATTATCAATTAATATGAGTTGCATATAATCGGTCCTAGTTTATTAATCATAGGTGTCTTGTTTAAAACATAATAGGTTTTAGCTGACATGCACAACTAAAAAGGCAGCATATATGTTAACACGTTTAATGAGTTGCCATAAGTCTGTATAAGTCTTGGGTAATTATTGAATCACCCTAGGTTTTATATGAAAATTCAGCATAAACACCGTGCCTGAAGCCCATAGGTTCCCAGTATGGTGAGTTATGCTATTCTTTCTAGTGCTATCATTTTGGCCTGACGAGCGGCTGGCCGCGTTTAGCTTGAGTTAAGTTAATAAGATTCAGATTTGATTTTATTATGATAAAGAGCGGAAGCTCATTAATCTGACTCCAGCTAATGCTGCTTGAAATTATTAGTTATAGTTGAACTTTACCCGCAGCCGCTCGCTTATCGTAACCCGCTTATAGTTATACCCGCATAAACTTAGTCTAAATCGCTACAGCCCACCGTGGCAAAAAAAAAAAAAATAAAAGGTATTTAAAATGTGTGCATTTTCTAACATAAATTTCGAAATATTCGATGACAAACTCGCAACTCGTTTTTTCGGTCATTTTAATGAAAAGCTGTTAAAAACATGTTTTCTTTTGATATAATCTCTTTAGCAGACCCCTGCTGCTTTCTAAAATACGAATGTAAAGAGTCCAACAAAAATGCAAAGGGTCCCGTGCGAATTTATTTCAAATAGAATAAAAAAAAATTTAATTCTATTTTTCAAAAATGTGTAAGCATTTTTCAGAAGCATTAATTAATTGCATTAAAATATAGCCTTTGAATCCGCAGAAATTGGCTATTGATTTGGTCGACCTGAAAGGTAAATTCTGTTTTTTGTCCCGTGCAAATCACTTGAATTTTGCAAGTATCCTAAAAATGACAAATCATCCAAAATCCATCTTTGGACCAATAAAATAGCTAATATAGTTAATATATATCTATACTATTATATAAAGAGGAAAGGTTTGATTTTTTGTTTGTTTGTATGAATTCAATAGGCTCCGAAAGTACTTGGCAGATTTGAAAAATTCTTTCACTGTTGGAAAGCTACATCATTCCTGAGTGACATAGGCTATATTTCATTAAATAAAAATAGGCATCCTTACTAAAATTACGATAACGTAATCCAAGGTGTTAAAAAAATATCAAAAAACTACCTTACATCTACCGCCCTCTACAGGCAGCCAGCTGAATCAAAGCATTTTCTGTCAAACATTCAAAACATATTTAAATAAGGAATTGGAGATAAAATTTTTATTTTTTTGTTCAGGTTCAGTAAGAAACGAAGTCATGCCACCCAAGAAGTCGAGTTTGGGTCGTCGTACTCGCAATACAGAAGCAAAAAGACGTAAGATTACGAATATGACTGACGAAGAACGGGCCTCCATCCGAGAGACTGAGCGGCTGAGAGCAATGCAGATGCATAACGCAAAATCAGCAGAAAGACGAGCAGATAGGCTTGAGAGAAAACGATTGAGAGTTAGGCAGTCGCGTTCTGCAGCAATCGATTTGATTCACTCTCAAAATAATGAACGCGACAGGGCAAGGGTAGCTGAAGCGCGTTTACAGCTTACAGAAGATCAAAACCTGCAATACAATCGTCTTGCATTCAGATATAATCCAACTATTGATTACAGTTCGAATAGAATGTCGTTATTGGCTGGATGCATCAGGTCTGCATATACTGTCAGGCCTCTTCGATTGAATCAGACGAACCTTCGGTCCGAGGAATATATCCATTTGCGGGATGCTGTGATGAATGACCGTAATACAACCAACGTTGGAAAGCTCACGATTTTGCCATCCTAATACATAGGTAGTCCACGCCACATGCATGAATATGGTCAAAATGCCATGGCATATGTTCGTTGCTACGGCCGTCCAGACTTATTTATCACCTTCACATGCAATCCAGCTTGGGACGAGATAGTACAGCTGTTATTTCCTGGACAATCGTATAGGGATAGGCATGACATCACAGCCCGTGTTTTCAGACAAAAGCTCAAGTCACTGATGGATTTTATTGTGAAACATGGAGTTTTTGGATCTGTGCGGTGCTGGATGTATTCAGTAGAATGGCAGAAGAGAGGATTGCCGCATGCGCACATACTGATTTGGCTGTATGATTTTTATCAAAATTACTCCAGATGAAATCGACGATGTTATATGCACTGAGATTCCACGGGCAGAGGTTGATACAGATTTGCATGCAGTTGTCATCAAGAACATGATCCATGGCCCATGTGGTACCCTCAACCGAAGTTCACCATGCATGGTAGACGGGAAGTGTTCCAAGCGATATCCTCGAGCATTTACAGCCAACACCGTAACAGGGGACGATGGATATCCTCTGTATAGGAGACGGTCAACTGAAGATGGAGGGACTTCGGCAACTTTAAACATGAGAATTGGTGATATTGAGGTAGACAATCGTTGGGTGGTTCCATACTCAACACTATTGTCAAAATCATACAAAGCGCACATCAACGTAGAATATTGCAATTCCGTGAAATCGATTAAATATATCTGCAAGTATGTGAATAAAGGCAGCGATATGGCAGTTTTTGGTGTTCAGGCAGAAAATGGTGACAACAATGCAATACGAGTTGTCGATGAAATATCTCAATACCAGGCTGGAAGATACATAAGCAGCAACGAGGCTGCATGGAGAATTTTTTCATTCCACATTCATGAACGCTATCCAGCTTTAGTTCACTTGGCAGTCCATTAGGAGAATGGTCAACGTGTCTATTTCACAAAAAGAAATGTGCAAGAAAGAGTCCTGAATCCGCCAGCGACAACTCTGACTGCCTTCTTCACCTTATGCTAGGAAGATGATTTTGCCAGAACCTTGATGTATTCAGAAGTGCCCTCTTAACCATAATATGCCCAGCAGGTGTTCAACTAGCTCATATACCGAGGATACCGATGATCCAAAATGATATGACAATCCCATTTAAACGGCTTCAATTTCCGGTAAAAACATCTTTCGCATTAACAATTAACAAGTCACAAGGCAAAACCTTCGAATTAGTATGGATCGATCTGTGAAAGAAATGTTTTACTCATGGTCAACTGTATGTTGGTCTATCGCGAGTCGGAGCCAATGAAAATCAATTTATTTTGCTGCCACAAAATAAAACATCAAATATTGTTTACAGAGAAGCTCTAACAAAATAAATGTATTTTCTTTTAGGGTTATGACCTCAATAATTGAAAAAAAAAAAAACAAAAAAATAAAGGATGAATATGTGTCATATTATTATTATTATTATCAATGTGTTAAAATTGACAAATCTAAATGTTATGTTTAATGCCCGTGCGAAGCCGGGACGGGCCGCTAGTATATATATATAAAGGTTTCCTTATGGCTTTTTTTTACCTTTTATACATATATGTATAATTTTTGTTAATTTACTATTGAAAAATTGTAAACTGATTTTCAATTCTACGTGTATTTATCGTTCACAGTGATATGTGAGTATATATATATATATATATATTATATATATATATATATATGTATATATATATATGTATATATATATATATGTATATATATATATATGTATATATATATATATGTATATATAGATAAGAGTATAAAAAACAACCGTAAAAAACAAGCCAAAAGCCTAAGACATAGCAGAACTTATTATATACGCTTATACAGCAATGTTGTACTTACCACTTTTCTCCTTTTTCTTCACACATTTGAAGAATTGAGAACATCACTCGCAATTTATTACTAGGGACGATAGTTTCCAAGTCTTTCTTTATGAGATATTTGCGCCACCAGTCATTAGTTACAGACATAACTCCTGTTTGACTATCATAAATATCATCTGGCTGGTCTTCATCGGAATTGGGACAAGATATTTTCTTATTATCCTTTTTACCTTTTTGCTAAAAAAATGTGGTTAAAATATTAAAATAAATTAATAATATGTATAATAATTTTATATTAAAAAAAAAACTTCTATAATGATTAATTTAAAGTATGGTACAAAAATGCTGAAGTCTACGTGTTGTAATAAGATTTTGTAGACGAGAGTGAAGACGGAAGTCTACCAAGTACGTGATATTTGCAGATACCCGTAATGTCGACCACATATTAGAAGTTAGTGGTGTCTTTTAGGTTTTTATTGTGTAAAAAAGGTACGAGAGGTACGACAAGGTACGATTCGCGGGTCTAGGGAAGAGAGAGCTACTAACTGCAAAGATAGAATTTAATTTTACTGATGCGGTGTCGAAAATTTTCAAGTACGATTGAATGGTCGAATACAACCTGTTTAATATGACATAACATCTTTAATTTTTCCAAGTGAGCATTGTTTTTTATTGCGCTTTCATTATCTGTATAATTATATTTTTAACATTTTCGGTTTTCAACAGATTTTCATCACATTTGAGATATAGCAATATAGCAATATTATATATCTGAATAAAACTTTACAGATAGTCTTCAATATACTCCCACTCGTATATATCATAGAACTTCCATATGAACGATCGGCAAATTTTACGAATAAAAATTATAACTTTTCAAATTTTCAACAGATCATCATATAATTAAAGAAATAGCAATTTTGTATTATTCCAGAACTTAATCGGATGAAATTTCATGAAATCCGGACAGTTGTGGTTACGATCGTGTCATTGACGCTACCCAAATCATTAGATCACTTGCTAACTACCATTAATTCTCTTGGTGCCTTACCCAACATCTCAACTATAATCCTATGGGAATTATAAGCACAGACACGCCCCTAAAAAATATATGTCACCATACGTATCCAACTTTACCCTTTGCCTCTAGCAGTCTGAGAGTTCAAAAAAAAACAAAAAGATCTATTGCCGTAAAGTAAAATGGTAAGTCTTAATGATAGCCAGTTAATTTGTCTGTTTCAGGAAAACCTTCAAAAATGCTGCAGTCTGTGGAACAACATTGTGCATTGTTGTTGCACCTCGGACGGTGGACGATGTATGAAAATGGACGGCCTGCGCTACTGCAGAGAGATAATGTTTTTACTGCGGCAAACCAAAAGCGGTTTTAAGGACCGAGTCATCGAGTTTTTCGTAAAACTCGTGATATGTAATGAACATACAAATTTAAATTTTCATTTGCTAGGGATATTTCAACTTTTAAATTAAATGTTCCTAACACAGTATGCTCTACCAAATTCTGTCCAGAGTATGTTTTTGTCAAGGAGTTCGTCTTCAAAAACAAACCAACTTTCTCTATTTTTCCTATCAGAATGCAAGAGGCTTACGTAGTAAACTTCCTTGTATTCTGATAATCTTTCGTTTTCTTCCTAGACAGTAGCTTACTTTTTATTTACTGTTTCTACATTCCTCCATGGTCGAAACGCTCTATTTATTGTAACCACTTTTACGCTATTCAGACGGATTCCAATAGACTTTCGGATAGGGCCAGCCAAAATAGTTCTCTGAATTCGGAAGATTTTGAACGGCTGAACAATGTTACATATGAATTTAATTGGTCGGATGATATGGCTGTTGCTGTGGATATTATTTAGAATACCAAGAACCAATTTTAACTTATCAATTATCAATTTTAACTTATCAATTTTAACTTCGCCGATGTCTAGGGATAACTTTCTGGAATCGGCTGAATATAGCGAAGCGCAAATACTACGTGACGGAGAAAAAGTGTCTCGAGCTGCTTCGTCAAAGGCGTTTAAGAAAATATTTGATTTTGCCTAAGGAAAACAACGAACAATTCTTAAATAATTGTGTAAAAACCCGCCAAAACTAGCTGGACTAGCTTTTAAATAGATAACGAGTGTGGCGATAATTATTTGCCGGTAATTTAGAATTATTCGGCAAAGTTAAACATTTTTATTTTGGATTTAATTTCCTTAAAGTCGTAGGTGGCGGGTACTGTCTCGTCGGCACTGTATCACCGTTCTTTGCCATTGAGGAATATACGAGTGCAGGTGGATGAGCACGCTGTAGAGAAAAGAGACGAAATGAAATTGACGACTTCGCTGACTCTATGTCTGCTCTTTTGCAGACCTATGTATATATGTAAAGATTTGGCGACTGCAGATCAGCGCAGAATAGCACGAAGCTTACTAAATATCTATTTGTGGGGATGTAAATATGTAAAAATTGTCGCTCAGTGCAGAATATATTTATATTTATATGCGTATGCTTATTAGTAAAATACATATGCATATACATATGTATGTTAGAATCAAATGGACAATATTTTCCATAAATATACACACCAATTAAGAAGAAAACAAATACTGGCCTTCCGTTCACAACGTCTAGGTTAAAAAAGAGTCCAGGTTTAAAAGCAATTCTGGAAATGAATTTATTAACTGAATACAAAAAAGTCACTTTCCCTTTAACAATATTTAATAAAATACATTGCAAAACACTTCTGAATACTTCAGCTGTCATTAGAGCTGTGAAAAAAATTGATTTCAACAACGAGACTATCGATTTTTGTTTCGTTCAATAATATTTTTCATCATCTCAATCTAATTTTGGAACCGCTGGTCCGAGTCCCTTCCCAAACACAGGTAGAATTTTCATTGCCTACTTTGTTTCAGAGTTCTCTTACCGAAACCCATGAGATTTGTTTTTGTTTTTAAAACATGACACCAGAAATCGGACAGGAAAGGAATTTTGGGACTACTAATGAACAAATAAACCTGAGTGAGTAGAAATGGAGCCATGGCAAAAAGAGGGGGCGTCAAGAATAAAATTAATAAAATAATGGAACACATTAAGTGGCTATTATTTACAAACCAACCGCCACCCCCCTGGGCAACAGCCCAAAAACTGCAAGAAGAACTTGATTTCCTTAAATCAAGTCTTGTAAAAATAAAATCCAAGGCTCCAGCTCACTCAGTAATTAAGCAAATTAATGAAAAAAAATAATAACACCTCCAATTCCAAAATAGCTGCCAAAAAGGGAAAAGGAGTGTCACAAGGATTGCCCAGGACCATTGGAGAGTCCATTCTGCTTATCAGACATGTTGTCTGAAACCTGTGCGATGACCGGCACCGGTACCGCCTGAGCTCATAGGCCCAGGACATCTGCAGCTGAATCAACAAGTGTGAGGGGCAGGCCGCCCCTTATGCCAGTGAAGGAGCATCAGCAAGTCAGCCGGCGACGACCAGCTGATGCAACTATAAAAACATCCCCGATTGGAGCCAAATGAGAAATTTATTTAAATATAACTTAAAATATAAACATTTTTAATACATAAGAAAACATTTTTTGTTAAATTGAGCGGAACCTTTTCTGCACAATTAGAAATGTAGCCCGTGAAGCTATACAAAACAATAAGAAGAAAACCTTTAAAAGTAATGCATGATAGTTATTAGTTAATAATTCGAAAATGGTAATAGTAGACGTTAAGTCAGTGGACTCCACTGCTAACGTTATTAATAATGTAGAGTCAACCAATAATAACTTCGAATTAATACACACATTGTTAATATATTCGTTGTTGTAATGTGCGCAAGTTGTTTTTATAAATTGTATAAGTTGCATAATAAATGTCTAAAAAAGAAATATATGAGCCGGACAAAATTTAATAAACAAACAAAAATAAAGCGCATAAACAACATTAAGAGAAAAATTTTTTCTTTTCTGTTATCTGTTCTGTTTAAGACAATGGAATAAAATAAAAGTTAATAAATACAAAATATATACATATATATATTAACTAAAGTATGGCTATACTAAAGGCGATTAGAGAAATATATGATAGGGACCCTTGTTTTAAAGAAAGAGTTCTGTAATTAGTTTCAGCGATTTCAGTATTAATAACCATAATATAATGGAACGGAATGAATTATATAAATAAATAAATATTATAAAAGTTGACTTAGACAAATCATATAAGTTACTTACTCAAAACAGGCCAATTCAAAAAAAAAAAAAAAAAAAAAAAAAACACTATTAAAAAACATGTAGAAATAATAATGAAATGCTTTAATGAAGCACGAATACTAATACATGCCCAGAGGGAAAAATTAAACCAATATCATTGGTCCGAAGTATCAAAATTTTTGATTTGACTACGATCTAATTTAATAACAATTTAACAAAAGTTCAATTTAGAGATATCAGTACCGGCCATACTTAACACTTCTCTAACAGTTGAAACTGGTGGTGAACCGGAATCAACAGAAGAAACTGACATTGACCAAATTGAATCAGAAGAACTTACTAACCTAAAATAGAAGAGCAAGATTTAAATAATCTTACTATTCCAGCTATATTAATGCCAGATCTGGATAATCCGACAGATTCTGATGATAGAATAAAATAAGCAACATTACAATGACACAATCTAATATTGATTTTACTAATACAGCTTATACCAGTTTTCGGTAAAGCTACAAATTTAACAAGTTTTCTTGATGCATTACAAATAATAGAATCAATAAAAGGGGAGCACGAACAATTAGCAGTTTCCACAATAAAAACAAAGCTAAAAGGTGTCGCCAGAAACCCAATCGATAACGTAAGGACAATTATTGAAGTGATTTCCAGATTAAAAGGCAACGTCAAAGGCGAAACTTTAGAAGTATTGTCAGCAAAACTGATGAACCTATATGAACCTATGAACCTGAACTGAATTAAACTGCTAGCCAGTATACACAAGAGGTTGAGCAGATGACAAAAGCTTTAGAAGGTGCATACATAACAGACGGCTTACCTCTAGAGCTAGCCAGAAGTTATTCCACTCAGCATGCAGTCAAAGCAATGACTAAAAATTGCACGATCGATAAGGTAAAACTTATCATGCAAGCTGGTACCTTTAATACTATGAATGATGCCATTTCAAAATTTGTCTATAGTTGCACTGAAGCAACTGGACACTGTCCTATACTACAGCAACTATCCACAGCGCGGC